AGTCCCTTCACAAGGCCAGTCACAAGTCCCTTCACAAGGCCAGTCACAAGTCCCTTCACAAGGCCAGTCACAAGTCCCTTCACAAGTCCAGTCACAAGTCTCTTCACAAGGCCAGTCACAAGTCCCTTCACAAGGCCAGTCTTTGGGCATGACGTTAAACAATGACAGAAGAATGCTTTTGTCACAGCTCATTTGAATAGCCTGTGAATTGGCTCAAGACAGAATGACTTGTGATGGACTTACAGGGACTTGTGACAGACTCGAATACAACACTGCAAAATACAGGCACGAACAATGTATGAGAAAAATAGGCCAGGTGACAGAACCTTAAAAGTAAAGCTGGTGCCAAGCATGCCATTACAAGAAACGAACAAGTACAAGAAACAAACAAGACGAGACAAAAGAGACAACGAAATACAAACAGGGAAAACGTTACAAATGTACAAATGAGCATCAAATAAAAATAATGACGAATGAAACGGCTACGGGAGGGGGTTACATGTACATATACTTAATCACACATCAAACTAGGACCCTAGAGACTAGGACGCATGAAATCTATTCCATACTTGGTTCTGCTTGAAAGTGTTATAAAACCTTAAACATCTGAGGGAAATCGGTAAGCTATTCCATAGTTTAGGTCCGGAATATTTGATATCGTATTGAAAAGTAGATGTTCTGTATTGAGGTATGGAAATGTACAGAAGGTCAGCGGATATGTGAGTATTATAGTTGTGGAAGGCTTACGATGGACTAACCTACAGCTTCGTGTCTACTGGTACCGGTAGCTCCATGTAATATAGGAAGTGCCGGGGCTATACAGTATGTCCTTCCTAAATCCCTCACAATCTTCCCAAACCTTGTGATGGATGTTGAAGGATCTTGGGGGATCAGCTTAATTTTACTGTGATGCATGTATGCAAAATATACACACAGAAGGTTACATTTGTTTTTTCTTGTTTAGTTGTGGGTGAGCTGTCGGACCACATTCAGAGCATGTTTCTTCTCCTCAGGCATGATGACAGAATGACCTTGGTAAGTCAATCGGACTTTAAATGAGAGGCACCCATGAATGTAAGGGCGCATGTATTCACAGAAAGAATGTTTTCGGAATCCTACCCACATGCACAAACCGTTTTTATTGTACCTTCACAAATCATTTTTAGTGGCATATGCCCATTTAAAAAAAATAGTTCAGTGGCATTTTTTGCCATATTGATGCCTCAGTACAAGAAAATAATATAGATTTTAGAATATCTAGAGACAAATCTGTGAAACGGATTTCATTAGAAGAGTTATATCAAGGAAAAAATCTGTTGTTAGTAATGAATAGATTCCAGGAAAATTTAGAACCTAAGTGATTATACCTATTACCTCCATACATGTACATGGTGATAATTTAGAG